TCGATGTCTGTATCACCAACAACACCCAAACCCTCCTCCCCCCCGGGATTAACTGTACGTAGTAATCTATAATAAAAAATTATTGCTTGGAGCCCGGGCCCCCCTGGCCACCGTGCCCCCTCACATAAGTACTGGCCGTATCCCCCTGCTGGGGGCCCTAGCTTGGGATTCGGATTTTTAGTTGCGATCCCCCCCATTCACTTGCCTGACCCCCTATGGGGTTGCGACTCACACATTAAGAAGCCCTGTTTTAAATGACCTGTGTAGTTGGCTACTATATGGATGCATTTGCTTGTCAATTAGGCAAATGGTTGTTATAGCTAACAATCAGAATGAAAAACAATGCAGCGTTACTAAAATGTATGTGCTTCCCACCATCAAAAAGTGTGTTTGTTTGTGATTTTTTTTTCTTGGTTTATTTTACTTTTCAGACAGAATTTAGTGGAATCAGTAACCAGTGATTATCTGAAGAAATGTGTCTACCATAAAGATACAGACCCACTTTGTCCCGTTTTTCGACTTGGATATATCGTGGAGCAAACAGGACAGAATTTCCGTGACATAGCCTATAAGGTATGAGTAGATAAGGCATATTAAGGCACCTCCGTGATTTTAAAAGGCAAATCTAGATTGCATGGAAAATAAAATAGGTATAAAGAAAACACTGAAATCAACATAGCGATGTGACTTGTATTTGTGCATTTAAACATTTGGTGATAACAGCAGCTACAAAATGTGTGCAAGGAAAGAGTCATTAGCAGAAATAATTACTAATACTATTCTAAGGCTCATTTACAATAAAATGTGTGCTGTGCAATGCAGATCATCACACTGTATGTGTGTTGGCGTATCATTGTTTATTGCACCCTCCACATAATAAGGGAGGAATTTATTAAAACTGGAGCAGGCAGCATCTGGAGCAGATAAGCATGGCAGCCAATCAGCTTCTATCTTTCATTTTCAAAGCTCATCTGAACAAACTGAGGAGAGAAGCTGATTGGTTACTATGGACAACCCTCTTGATTCTGTACTGCAGCTATGTGCTATGCACAGATGCAAATGCTCTGTATGTTGTAGTGTACAGCATCTTGAAAAGTAGAGCAGAACCTCTTTTTTTCTTGCATAAAGTGGAATTTAAGCCCATTCAAAATTAGCAAAAGTATTTTTTTATCCTCAGAACAGAGAAAGACCTTCAGGAGGAAAGGTTATCATGTCTCTTGGGAATTCAGCAACAAGGCGTTTATTGTGTATAAGGCATCCGCACAGCTATACACTTGGCAGAACTTTTTTTAAGTGAACCCTTTGGTATTGCATTAATTCCACAACCTATAGCTCAAGCAATCTGCAAGAATGTGGCATGAGAAAGTGGATGAATTACTCACGAAAGAGGGATTCCAGGAATCGAGAAGACAGATGGGTATACTGTACATCCTAATTTACATTGATGACATTATAGCCTGTTTTGAACAAGAAGGGGACTATAGTCAAATAATAGACAAACTAAAACAAAACGTTGAAATTAAAGAGCTAGGGAACATGAGTCACTGTGGCATTGTGCTCTGCCTTGCCTTGCCTTCTGCCTTGCAGCACTTAGGGTCCCTGTTTCAAATCCTGGTCAGGACATTTTCTGCAAGGAGTTTGCATGTCCTCCCTGTGCTTGCGTGGGATTCCTCTAGGTCAGCGGTTCTCAACGTGTGGGTCGCGACCCCGTCGGGGGTCGAATGACGATTTGCTAGGGGTCGACTAGCGGCTCCCGGCAGCCCGGGAGAGAAACACTTTCTCTCACTGCCCCATATTGCAGGACCGGACCGCACTGAGACTGTGCGGCCCGGTACCATTTGATCCGCGGACCGGGGGTTGGGGACCACTGGTCTAGCAGAAAGAAAACAAGCGTTTCACTTTCCTCAACTGAAGCTGAATACATAGCAGCATCACACACTTGCCAAAAAGCATTATGGATTTGGCAGCTTTTAACGGACATGGGTATAGACATGTCAAACCCCATCCCAATTTTTTAAGATAACCAGGGATGTATAAAGCTGACACAATCAGAAGAAAGAGTCAACCCTAGAACCAAGCATATCGATGTAAAGTATCATCTGCTTAGGGACAGTCAGGAGCAAGCCATTATCGACATTCAATATTGCTCATCAGAAGAAATTACTGTAGATGCACTCACCAAGCCAGTGCCAAAGTATCATCACTGTTTCCTTCGAGAGAAGCTAAATGTCATATAGTAACGCATATGCTGTTGAGAAGGAGTGTTGGAAATACAACAGCATATATTATGTCTTTTGAGCTGTAGATGGCACTGTATTGCAATGTTATTCTGTATGTTCATGCGTATCTATGATATATACAGGAAGTTCTCTCTGTATGCTATATAATGCTATATTCTGATGTAATGTTCTTATAAGCAAGTAAAACTTAATTCAGCATTTCCTCAAGATCTCAGTGCTTCATCTAAACACATATCCAACAATAGGCACAGTACTCAGAGCACTACGTTGTTCATAGAACAGATGCTAAGTGAAATTCAAATGTCAAAGATTCTCCTTTAAGTGAAGATATTAGCAACATTTCCAAGCATACCGTGCTCTTATATTTTGTTACACAGTATATGTACACACTATAAATTCCTGTAACTTATCATGTATTAACAATTTCAATAATGTCCTGTTTTGTAGGGAGGGACGATTAGCATTATAATCGACTGGATTTGTGATCTGGATTGGCCACTGAAATACTGTAAACCCACATATAGCTTCCATGGACTCAATGATGAGAACTCAGCCTCACAGGGCTTTAACTTCAGGTATGTCATGTGTTTATTATTATAGGACAAACAGCGCTAATCTGTACATGTGTACATTGGCAAGCAGGAGCTGAATATGGCAACATAAAACAAATTGCTGCAAAAGCGATAATTAATTATGCAGTTGTACTTTAAGTTTTAATGTGGAACTACAGGTATGACACATATGCTGCAGTCCATCACTAACATTAACACAGCAGTTTTTGGTTTTCTCTCTCCCCCCAAACTTAGGGGTCTATTCACATAACTCCTTCTGCACTTCGGGTCAGCCGAACATGCTGAGCATGTTCGGCTGACCCGAAGCCACGCGAAGCAAGCCGATGTACGGCTGATTTCAGCCGATATACGGCTGAAATCAGCCGTACCAGCCTGAAGTGAATAGCCGAACAGTGTTCGGCTCACTTCACTTCTGATCGGTCATTCACTCGGCTGCCCTCGGCAGCTTTGTGAATAGACCCCTTAGTTTCATTTATTAAATTATTTTTTTTGTTTTGTTATTATAGCCATTTACATAGCACCAGGAATTTATGCAGCGCTTTGCATACTGTACATTTACATCAGTCCCTGCCCTCAAGGAGCTTACAATCTAAGGTCCCTATCTCACATGCATACATACGAGAGCCAATTTAGACAGGAGCCAATTAACCTAAGAGCATGTCTTTCAAGTATGGAAAGAAACTGAAGAATCTGAGGGAAATCCACACAAGCACAGGTAGAACATGCAAACTCCATGTAGGCAGTGTCCTGGCTGGGATCAAACCAAGCACCCCAGTGCTGCAAGGCAGCTAACCATTTAGCCACTGTGCTGCACAGCAGAAGTGCTGACCACTAAGTCACTTGATGATGCTAATAGTTGTGTTTATTTGTCCTCTTTCTATAAAAATTTTACCTTTGGTTGACCTCAAAATGCAATGTTATGGGTGATTTTTCAGGTTTTTTTTCCCCGTTTTCTCTTAAAGGCATGCAAGGTACTACAAAGATAATGATGTAAAGAAAAGAACATTATTCAAGGTCTTTGGTATTCGCTTTGACATCTTGGTAAATGGAGAGGTAATGTTAGTTTTAGTTATTACTGTTGTGATAATTACAGTTATTAAAATTATAAGGAGTATGTCATGCGTAAATATATTATACATTACCTAAATAAATTATACATATCAGAATGTAATACAGATAGCTTATAGACATTTGGATCAAAAGGTACACTCTGGCCATCTCTACAGATGTAATGACCATAGTGTCACTTTATCCTTTCCATCCAATGGAGCCTACTTATCTTTGGAGCAAAGTTCATACATTTTACTATATTTTACATTGAAGGGTTAGTTTTGAGATGTTCAAAAAAATAACAAAGCACAGCTATATAATATATCTTAGTAAATTACAATTTTACTAATGTAAATTGAATTTTTATTAAATGTTACTATTAATGCTCGGCTATGAAAATAATGACTTTATTTTAGTAAAATATTTAGTTCTGTAATTTATTATATTTAACAGTTTACATAGAAGACTTTGAATCAGTGACACGGTACTTCAAATATTGCTGCAGTTGTTTCTGTTCACTTCCTCACCTTCTATCTTGTTACATTTTATGATGTCTGTACATTTGGCAGATATGAACAAAACTGAGGTTCATGATGGAGGTGCAAATGTTACTTAGAGAGATAAATCAAATAAATCATCCCTTAAAACAGTCATCTTTTGTAGATTCCTGAGACGTCAAATTATGCATATATCTGAATAAAATGTATGAGTGGCGCATCAAAATCCCCTAGGGCTCAAATGCAAAATGTGAGCTTACCCCAGTACACAAATACCCATATATTCCCACATTATCTTTTTTAAGGACATATGGGAATACTGGGCTCTTTTGAGCTACATTTCTAACATGCTTTACATGCCATTTTCACTAGTTATTTATGTGCATGCTATATATAAATTGTTTTTTAATTAATACACTATTTTGCAGGAATCAGGGTTCAAACTGCATCCTGCTAGTTCACTAAAGGGCATATTTATAAAGCAGGGAACGTAACATTTACCAAACATTCACTGTAGATAAATCAATTGCTGCAATTAAAAACTTCCAGGAAGATTCACCTGCAGTGAAGGTTTGGTTAATGTCACATTCACTGCTTTATAAATAAGGCCATAAGTGTGGATATTTGCAAAGTTTTTTAAATTCGCAGGTTTGAATTATTTTCAGTTCTTCAAGACATCTGACAAGCTCCCACCATGCTTTTATGGATGCTAATCCTGTGCCTGTCCATCTTTTCCAAAAGCCAGTCAGTGGGTCTTGTACACTACCCTATGTAAAAACATTGCAAGAGCTAACCAGTCACTGTCTTCTGAGTGGACTGCTGCCGAACATGTCTTCTTAGATCTGTTTAACTAGGGTTTGTTTAGTTGAGTAAATATTATAATTAATCATCAAACGGTATTGATGAACAATTCCAGTAATACTTTCTTGTCTAAGTTCTTATAAATATCAGCTTTTAATAGACTATTAAATGTAAAGTGAAACTTTTTTTTTTAGTTTTGGATAGAGGGGAGAGGAATTAGCACCGAAGTCTGGTTTTTATTGCTGTCCTCGTTTGGGAGATTCACCCTCTCTATTTGTCCTGGTGACTGCTTTCACTGAAAGGAAAATAAAATCCCAAATTTTGGGTTGTCATCAAAAGAAGAATAGAGAGGAAATCTTTCTATGGGACACTAGTTCTGGTGCCACTGCTGACCAACATGGATTTTCCTCTCACTTCCTGTTGTAACTATCGGGCAGAAAATGAAGGGAAATCTCCCTAAAAGGACACAGATGGCAATAAACACTGACAGGACTTATGACCATCCCTTACTCTATCCAAAACTAGAAAAGTTTTGGCTTCAGTTCTACTTTAATATGATGGACTACAAAAAAACAGTGGTTCTCTGTAGTCTAGTGTTAAACTGGGTTAGCTATATCCAAGTGGTTGTGAATACTATTGTTTAGTAATATAAGTCATAGTACTGTTATCGTGACAAAACATTTCTCATCAAATTCACTGCACAAAATATGTCATTATATACATTGTTTTGAGGGTATTGAACTGTCCCATCCACAGATACATTTCTGAAAATGTCCATAACTCAAATGTCCTGTAATTTACATTACAACATTTTTATGTTCATTTCAGGGAGGAAAATTTAATATAATCCCAACAATGACAACAATAGGTTCAGGAATTGGTATTTTTGGAGTGGTAAGTTAAAACATCCATATTATTGTTCTTGTTATTCTTTATTTACTTTTATAAACCAGAGAAGAAGTTTCAAAGTCCCTGCTTTTTTCCTTACCTCTCTACATGTACGCCTCTTGATATTCTGAATTTTAATACAGCAATTCACTGTGACCTCATGTGGCAAAATGTAGTATTGTATATAAGTAGCAAACCACATGTAGACATTTCCAACTTGTCATATAGAACAGATCTGTTTCTACCTGTGACATAAAATGAAATATTTACATTTGCGTAGCCTCATCATGTCAGTAGTGGATGCCCGCTGCTGTGACAGTGATCATTCCTGCTGCTTTGGTGGATGCCTGCTGCTGTGGCAGTGATCATTTCTGTTGCTTTGGTTAGAAAGCATTTCATACTCATAAGGAAGGTTGAAAAAGCATGCTGACCATCCAGCATGTATTCATTACATTTTGGCAAATGTGACACAGACACTGTCTTGCCTCGGAGGACCTAAAAAACAACAACAATGCAGCGGTACATTGTTGACTATTATAACACTGTTTCAAGGGACACCATACAACTAAAACCACTTCAACTACTGTACCTATATAACCATTATGTATTTATACCCAGTATTAATTTTTTAATAGTTAGCTATGGGGCTATTAAATTGGAAAAAACTTTGTCATTAATTATAATATTGAAATAATACATATAAGAATTTGTGGGACAAAAAACTATTTTTTTGAAAAAAAAATTAATAAATATATCGTTTGACCTGTGTTAATTTTCTGGTACAGGGAAGTTATTTTCAAAAGAAATTAAAAATTGTGTTGTTTTTTTTTGTACAATTTTAAAAGAGAGCGAGAAAAAAGGTTAAAAAAATGTACATATTTTTATTTATTTTTTGGCAAAAAAACTCTAAGGGGTCTATTCACTAAGCTGCCAAAGGATCTAGCCGTAGCTTCGGCTGATCCTTCGGCTAGCTTCGGCCCCAGGACCCCTTCGGTTCAGTAGAACCGAAGGTCTGCTGTACTGGCTATTCACTATAGCCCGTACAGCTCCCGAAGTTGGCCGAGCGGCTCAGTCGAGCCAAAGGCATTTGCTTCGGCTCGACTGAGCCAAGGTGAAAGCCGAAGCTGGCCGACAGCTTCTGGCCGACAGCCTGCTTCTGACAGCTGGGCGGAGCCAGCCGTCATCTCACGGCTGGCTCCGGCCACTTGCAGAAAGATCAGGCGTCCCTGGTTACCAGGTAACCAGGGATGCTATCTGTCATTACACACTGAGAACACGGCGGAGCCGCTATGATATCACAACGGCCTCTCCGGGTTCTCAGTGTGTAATGACAGATGGAGTCCCTGGTTACCTGGTAACCAGGGATGCTGAGCTGTCATTACTCTCCCGGATGCTCTGGGAGTCTAATACGGCTCCCGGCCTCCCAGGAGAAAAACACTTTCTCCCGGAAAGGTTCACTCTGCTCAATCGAGCAGTGTAAACCTTTCCTTGCGAACTGTTTTTCTGACATGGGGCTGCTGGCCGCCCTCAGTAAGAAAAAATTAAAAAAGTGCAGTGAGTAGCCTGCCGGAGGTTCGGCTCAGCCAATCCAGATGTTGGATCGGCTGAGTCGAACTACTTCTGCACTTCGGGTCGGCCGAACATGCTATGCATGTTTGGCTGACCCGAAGCCAGCCGCAGCAAGCCAATGTACGACTGATTTTAGTCGGTGTACGGCTGAAATCAGCCGTACAAGCCTGAAGTAAATAGCCGAACAGCGTTCGGCTCACTTCACTTCGGGTCGGTTATTCACTCGGCTGCCTACAACAGTTTTGTGAATAGACCCCTAAGTAAAATAATACTAAGTAGAGAAAGGGATATGATATGGGAGGAAGCCCTGAGAATACAAGGTACTCCCAAGTGTTTGAATTTTTGGGGGGGGTCATAGCAAAGTCTGCAAATTGTTAATATTATTTTGTATCTCAGTAGCACTCTTTCAAAATACTGATATAAAATCCAAAATAATATGAATTCATGTTAACATCCATAAATCACGTAAAAAAAATATTTTGAAGTTGATCAGCATTCAAAATCAGGCCCATCATCAGGGAGAAAACTAAAAAAACAGAGAAAGTTCTTGGAAATAAATGTATAGTGATTTAGTGCAGGAGTGCAGCTTAAGTGCTCCTCAGCAATGTAGAATATTTTGACAGGCCGTTTTTAAAATGCATCATATTACCTGTTTGAACATACATTCTGCAGGAGAAAGTTGTTCAAACTCGAGAGAGCAGAAATTTCATTTTTTGGTCTAACTGAAACATTTTCACATCTAGTATATTTTTAAAGCTTTTAATTTTGTGTTCACACTGAGTGACTCGCTGCTTCTTTTGTTTTCAGGCAACTGTTGTATGTGACCTAATGTTATTGCATGTACTTCCCAAACGGAACTACTACAAGGAGAAAAAATTTAAGTATGCAAAAAATGAAGAAAAGGTAAATAACTACAAGAAACATTAAATGAATTGTTTTTGACATTTCAAGTGCATTAAATGAATACATTCACAGGAAATCTGTGCTGAGAGACATATGTGGGCGTCCACTGCAAAACTCTCCTTCTGAAAAAAGCTTGTTGCCTGGCTTTCCTGCTGACCTAAATATTGCATTTCTTTCTTAGTCACTGATGCTGAACATGTAAGAAAAACAGGAGTTCTAACTTTGCTTCATGAATGATTATTCTAGGTCAGCAATAGTATACATATTTTTCTTACAACAGAAAACTTGTACTGAGAGCAATATGAAGGCTGCCATTGCTGACCTTCTTTTGGAAATCAAGGATAAAAGAAATGGCAGGACACATATTTGAAACAACACCACAAAACCCCACCTGGACCTCCTGCTCTGATGCCTTTCTCCCATAATTAGACTTAAAGGAGAATTATGGGGTCAGAGCTTTTCCCCATAGTTCTCCTAAGGGTCACGGGAGAACACAAACTAGCGTTCTCCCGTGAACCAAAGCTCAGTATACCGCGAGGTATACTGAGACGCCGCAGCCGGGACGGATCCCGACATTGCTGTCGAGATCCACACAGCTGCGGGATTGACAGTTGGCTCTGCCTATCCAGAGGCAGAGCCAGCTGTGCCCGCCCCCTCCCCCGTCCGTACCGCCAGTCAGCGCTGGAGCATCGGACAGGGGAGGGGAGGAATCCCTACAGGGAGCCGTGAGTGACAGTCACAGCTCTCTGCAGGGATAGATCGAGAAGTGAGTAAGCGACGGTATGTGTTCGCTCACTTCCCGATCTATTGAGCCGACCTGTGACAGTTTAATTGTCACAGGTCGGCTCAGGTTATGAGGCTGAGTGAAAATCACTCGCCTCATAATTCTCCTTTAATCATAGAAACCACTATGAGTAAGCTTGATTTTGGGTGAAATGTGTAGCGGAGGAGGTCCCAGGTGGGATTTTATCTTGTTGCCTGGAACAATTAAGTTCTACTTATGGAGGTATTCTACAGTGTTCCACAGGCTCTTTTCTCATTGATTTAAAAACACTCCTCGGTGTTTAGATGAGCCCCTCTCCAGTTTTGGCATCCAACAGCCAAGGAGGTGGCCCATGAAGCATTGGACAATGTTTTTTTTCTTATTTTGAAAATGACTGGCTGTCTCTGGCTTCATTTCTAACAGAGTCACTAATCTGGAACAAGCATGCAAATCAGTGATGTGAAGTCACAGAGGGTTATTCTCAAAGCCAGCCGAAGGATCAGCCGTAGCTGCGGCTGATCCTTCAGCTAGCCTCGGCCGCCGGAGCCATTTGGTTCAGTAGAACCAAAGGGCTGCTGTACGGGCTATTCACTGTAGCCCGTACAGCTCCCGAAGCTGACCGAGCAGCTCAGTTGAGCCGAAGGCATATCCTAAGCGGAAGCAAGCCTCGCAAATGGCAGCTGGGCGGAGCCAGCCATTAGCTCATGGCTGGCTGTGCCCAGTTGCAATGACAGATCAGCATTCCCAGGTTACCTGGGGTTGCTGAACTGTCCTTAAACAATGACAACTTGGCAGAGCTGGCCGTGATGTCACGGCTGGCTCCGCCCAGTTGTTATTCATTGGACGGGACCTGCTAGAAGACTCTAGCAGGTCCTGGCAAATAGGAAACAGTTGGGAGGAACTAGCTATCACTGCTAGCTCCGCCCAATTGTTTCTGTCTTATTTTTAATTTTTTTCTTTTTTTAATTATCTTTCTTTTTGTTTTTCTTCTTGCTCTTTATTTTTATTTTATTACTTTTTTATTCAATTATCTATACATATTTTTAAAAATCTTTATTTTATTTACCTTTTTAAAAAAATGTTTGCTAATTTTTTTTTCAACTTTGTGCACTGCTTTGCTATTCTGCTGGGTACCACGGAGGTACCGAGCAGAATAGCTGACCCGAATGCCGCTATTCACTCACCACCGGTCGGCCCATATGAGAATAAGCCGAACAACAGCGAGTAGCCTGCCGGAGGCAGGCTCAGCCGAACCAGATGTTGGATCGGCTGAGTCAAACTCCTTCTGCACATCGGCTCAGCCGAACATGCAAAGCATGTTCGGCCGAACCGAAGCCAGCCGAAGCAAGCCGATGTACGGCTGATTTTAGCCATACAAGCCTGAAGTGAATAGCCGAACAGCGGGTCGGTTATTCACTTGGCTGCCGTCGGCAGCTTTGTGAATAACCCTCACGATTCAAAGCTATTGTAGAAGGAGAGGTCAGTAGTGACTGCCCTAACATGCCTCTCCATTCAGATTTCCTCTAAAGCATATCTGTAGTCAAAACCTTTTTGTAGGTATAGATAATGTAAGGAACAGTGGGCTGTCTGTGTACCTGCTGGGGAATTTCCCTCTTTATATTTGTCCCGGTGACCATTGTTCCAAGGACAGGTAGTAATGTTAAACCCAAAATTTTACATCTGTCAAAAGAACAGGAGGTGAGGGAAAATCTCTCTATTGGGATGCTAGATGTGGTGACAGCTATCTAAGAGGGATTTCCCCTCACTTTGGAGAGATTTCCTCTTCCTTCTTGTTCTGTCTCTGAGATAGAAGTGAGGGGTACATTCACCAGATCACAGGGAGAAAAAAATATACCTTATAATTGTAAAGACTGTTTTGATAGATTTGTTGGTTTCATATACACTTAATGATATTTATATTTTGCACTTCTAACGTCTCTCTAATTCAGAAAACTTTAAATAAAGAAGATGGAACAGGCTGTTCGAATGACAGTCAACAAGACTTCCCCCAAAACTCTGGGATTCCTGTAGCAACACCTGCCAGTTAACATCTAACCTATCTTCTACAGCACAGGGTAAGCAAAGTATTCCTACAGATGAATCAAAGCATAAAACATTTACTGACAAGTATTATTTTACATACTTAAGTGTCTATTTATAATTTTTTTCACATTCAGATAATATTCATATAACCTTTACCCATATTTCACACATCTAATGAAATCTTATGTACAAATGTGTGAATCTTGATAAATAAATGACTTAAAGTATTTAAAGCCAAAATGTTTTATATAGTTTTTATACAGTTTTGGATAGAGTAATGCATGTTAGAAATGCCAGGTTTTTTTTTGCTGTCTGTGTCTCGCTGAGACAGGATGTGAAGAAATCTCTCCAAAATGAGCGAAAATCCAATCTTAGATAGTTGTTACTGGAACCAGCATTGGAATAAACATTCTCTGCTCTTATTCCAGTGAAAACTTAAATCAGGACAAACAGTAGGAGTAAATCTTCCTAGTGGGGACACAGACAGAGGCATAAAGAGGTCCTAACTACTTCATTCGAGCAGAATAGAAAAACAGTTAAAAAAGTAGTAAAAAATAAAATAGAAAATGATTGGGCAGAGCTAGCAGTGACAGCTAGCTCCGCCCAACTGCTTTCTATTGGCCGGGTGCCATCAGAAAAAATAAATAAAATTAAAAATCAACATAGGAATGCATAGCTAGATTCGTATTGGCTATTTCACTTTGCAATAGCCAATAGCAAACTAGCAAGTATGCATGCATGTACTATTTTTAACTTGCAATTACAGGGTGTTTGCATTAAGTAAGAAAATGTTTTAGTTCTGCTTTCAGGGCCTGTGTTGACGGATTTTGGTATTGTGTCAATATTGACATTAATTTTGCTATTGGCATCAAATGAGAGTATTCTGAATTTATTGACATAAGCATTTGACCTGCTTCAAATTGGTTTTGCATTTCTATAGGCTTGTATGGGGAGATAAGCAGTTTTAACATGAACAAAAACCTGTCGGCACAGGCCCTAATACAGGTATGAACATTCTATGCAGTGGCTCAATAATGTAGAACTCTATAGAACATCTGAAGCAGTCAACTCATGCCCTGGACGTTGACAGCTCAGTAAAACCGGAACTTCTGCTTATGCCAACAGTTGATTTAATGAATGCATTAAATATTTCTGTCTCAGGAAGTTAAGGACACAATGTTCCACATGATTTAACTTTCTGAATATCTATAATATGCAGCACAATATGTTAAGAGTAAGATTTTGAAATCTGCGTGACAGCCTCTCTTTACATGCCCTTTGTATAACAACTATTTCTAAATCAAACCCATACCAGTGGTTTGCCAGCTATGAAAACGAATATATTCATAGCTGCTTTGGGAGGCATGTGGAACAGGCAAGTATATGTTGACAACTCGTGCTATATGCATATGCTAGTTTGTGTTGTTACTCATTGATGCCGGTTTACCGAAAATTAGTTTTTTTACTCTATTTTTGGGATAGCACATTCCAATATACTAAATAAACAATTCAATCAATTTGTGAAAGCAAATTCTCACTATTTTCTCTCTATTTTTCAGAAGTTCAACAATAGTCATCAAGCCCAAATTGTCCCATATCTTGGTTATCTGTATTTAAAGCAGCACATTTCTTGCTGTGGAGATTAACTTCCTGGTGATTGTATATTATTATATATTTTGAAGGAATGGACATTTTTAAAAAACACTGAACTAATTATTTGTACAGATGAAGTAATACAAACATAATTATGCTGATCAACACAATTGTGCCAACACACAAGAAATGAAAGATTCCCAAAACCAAACAGTTCAACCAACAGACGTGCCATTGGTATTTTAAAAATGCCCTTAAAATATCATTTGTTTGATCGGCTGTTTATATCTGGAAAGAAGAGATATCACACCTGCAAATCTAAAACAAGTTTTGAAAATAGAAAGTAATATATATATCACCTGACTAATAGTGAAACGTACTGTATATGGCTAAAGATCCACTACAAAGAAGTAACTGCTTTCCAATACTATTCTCCCTACTGGAAGTAAAATCTGTGAGATGAAGCTATTTCCCTATTCTGAGCATCATGTTCTGCAATCTTGTGCCTTTATGTGTCAATGGAACTCTTTGTTGCCTTTGAATAACCATATGTTTACAGTAGAGGGCACATAATTCCTTTGTATATATATTTCTATGTATATATTTGAACATATTACTGTGTTTATAATAGGCATGAAAAAAATTCAGACATTCTGTATATTGAGCATGTGAATACTGAGTAGGTTTTTTTATTCAGTGGATTTATCATAGTGGTACTGGCATTGATATGTTATTACTATGAATGTGTTTATTCTGCATTCATATCAGCTATCATGGGCACTATGGGAACAAAATTGGAATTCCCAAAGAAAATTTACTTAATGATATTTAGTCATAAATGTCCTCCATGGTTTCAGGTTGGGCAGGAAGCACCAGCAGTATGTTTGAGGATGGTGGTGCTAGTTATCTTAAGATAAGTTAGTTAACTTAACTGAATCTAAATGCATCTGGAGAACCCATTCATGCAACTGGTAGTGTTTCCAAGACCAATATTTGCCATGTCGGCGCCAGCTGTCCAAAATGCAATAGCTCGGCAGAGGAGATTTGTCCATCCACACTGTTTAATGTGGATAGGATAATTGACCATTGAAAAAATTGTCAAGTGTATGGCCAGCTTAAAGCCCATTTCCACAGAGGTATTTATAAAAAACATATGCCAACAATGCGTGTACATGAAGCAGGCATAGGCAATTGGTGTTTTTGAACACAGAAACTTGCACTTTTTTTGTTAGCTTCCCTCTTCATATCCTCATGGAATTGGCCGCCTCTGTGCTCTGCAAGCAATGTGTGCCTCTCCCCCTATTCATTAGTATTCATAGTGGCAACCCCCCTCCCGCACAATGTATTGGGTGTAAAGGCAGAGTTGGTGTTTAGTGATCATGTTACAATGAGTCACAGGGAGGGGGCAGCTGTTTACAGCCTGCTTTACAATCCAACCCCAGTGTTAGGCTTGGCACACACCTTACAACCATCGCAAGACTTTTGTCTTGCGATGGTTGTAAGGTAATTAAAAAAACGTACGATCTGCCTATCTTGGACAGGCAGATCGTACTTGCTATCATCGCAAGCCCGCCCCGCTGAGGCGCGGGCTTCCGATGACCGTAATGCCGAACGGGCAGTGTGCGCTTGCACACACCGACCCGTCCGGCTTTTATCTTACGAACATGCTACACACACGCTGAAAATCGTACGATTCTCGGCGGGTTTTCGAACATGTCCGTAAGATAAAAGTCGTGCAACCTTACAGTAGTAGAGGTCGCACGTCTTCCACACACCTTACGATAATCGTACGATCGCGGGATTTCCCGCGATTATCGTACGATTATCGCAAGGTGTGTGGGCACCTTTAGACTGAATTTCCTGTGGAGAAAATGTTGAATTTCTTGGATTCAGGCCATAATAAAAGGTTAATAAAAAATTAAGAAAGCCTGCAATGTGAGTCATGAAAATGTCCCCATGTATGCATGATGCACCTCTACATTACCACAATAAATGTGGAAATGGGCTTTAAGGTCCTAGTTGATGGGACAATTGCATTAGGTTGAAAACACAGACCTTGAGGGTTGACAGTGATAGGATCTGCAGTCAAAGTGCAGTTATCATTTAGGCCCCTTAACTGAGGCACTGTTAGCTGTATTCAATACTGTGAATAAGGCCAGAGTGCTTATTACTATGGAGATCAATGATTCTAAAATGAACAGGACTTCAATATACCATGTAAATGTGCAGGCTACAGCACATGCTATTTTTTACTTCCTGCTTTCTAAGTGGGTATGGAGGTCACATGCATCACACACAGAAATGTTGTATAAATCAGCCATTGAATGTATATGTCTGTGAAGGTTCTCATTCATCCAGGTCATCTGTAAAAAATAAGTCACGGCAACTGTATTTGCTGTATTTTTCTTGAAGACGTCACTCTGAATTGAGAAAGCTGGTCGGATGTCCAGTGAAACGTCTTCAAGAAAAATACAGCAAGTCCAGTTGCCATGACTTATTTTTTACAGATACATTGAATTTATAGCTTGAATGGATTGCTTACTATTATATATGCTTGAAGCAGAACAACTGAACAACTTGTTTATTTCTGTTTTAAGTTACATTTTAAAATCTACACAAAAAAAGCAGGCTACTTTTGCAAAAGAATCCAATATCAATACTGGAAGTTTTTTTTTTAATAGACAGGATTCGGAAAGACATCCAGCATCAGCACAACTGTAATCTACATACTTTTATTTGCTCCTTTCAAAATTCTATACAAAAACACATACTAAACAATAGCATGGCTATCTAGAGGAACCACATGTATAATTCAATAACCAATGCAAATATTTAAACACAGAGGGGGTGATTTACTAACCTAAACACACGCACGCACTAGGTGCGTGTGATTTTTACACAGCAAAACTTATTTATCAACCAAAAAGTCTCTAAAAGCATATTTCCACTAATGCCACATATGGAAAAATCATGCACATGATGCATATATAATGCTGCTTCACAGTTTAGACAAAAATGGTTAGCTCATGCATTTACATTCCTGCATTCATCAACGCAAGCAACACAACATAGAGCTAATTTACACAACATCACCTTGCAATTCATGCAGGGCTTTGCACAACACTCCTGCTGGGTGTGTACACACTACAAAGGTGTCTAGATTCCACCCATAGATCATGCTGGGAGGGAACACACTATAGAGGTGTATACATGTTCGTGGTGTGTTTATAAGGTTAGTAAATCAACCCCAGTGTCTGAGAAATTGCCATGCTCTGCAGGTTTCTGTGTGATTTGGATTATATGGATATCTGCCGGGAATAGTTATGATAGCAAAATAAATTTTAAACAACAATACTTTGACTATACAGATTGTAAGCTGCGTAGTCATTGCATGGGCAATAGAGAATGTAAA